GGGGGGGGGGCTGTGCCCTGTCTGTTGGAGGAGGAGGGGGCCTGCGCACTGCTGTTTTTGCAATATGGCTCGTGCAATGTGGCTCATGCAGGCGGCTCTTGTGAGCAAAGGTTGTATGATGTATTCAGTGGCGCCTTCGGGTTTGTGCCGCAGCGGCTGTCTTCTTGGCGCTTGGTGGCGCTGCAAGTGCTGTCATTTCAGCTGCATAGGCTACGTTGCCCGATCTCAGTGCCTCTCCATACCCCGTCTTCCTGTGATTGCGGCGCGTTTCCAGCCGCAGCACGCAACGCACCGATTGCTCGAGGCTCCAACAGCGTGCTTTTGCCCCTACACCCCTCCCCCCTTGCGGCCATCCTAACCCCTGCCCGTACCCCGCAGGCCCATCGCCATGACTGTCCCAGACCAGGAGCTTATCGCAGAGGTCCTCCTCGCCAGCGAGGGCTTCTCCGCCGCCCAACCCCTCGCTCGCAAGGCGGTCGCGCTGTTCGCGTTGGCCCGGGAGGGCTGCACCGCCCAGAGGCACTACGACTGGGGGCTGAGGGCGCTCAAGACGTCGCTGGGAGCCGCCGGGAAGCTGCTGCGCGAGGTGCGTTGGGACGTGGTGCTCTTGACTCGTTCAAACGCTGCTGCCAGCTGCCCTGTCTTGTACTGCTGCATCCAGAACGGGCAGAGGTCTCGCTGTGCAAATCAACTTAGATATGTTTTCTGCGGCTCCATACGTGAATCCTATCCCACAGCCCCAGCTTTTAGCGCACTCGTGTGCCACCCTGAAACCATCACAAACGCCCAGCCTCCACTTTTTGGCCACCTGCCCATCCGCAGCTGCGCAAGCAGCGCGACCAGGAGGTCCCACTAGATGTGGAGGCGGAGGTGGCGGTGCGCGCGGTGCTGGCCACCAAGCTGCCCACCCTAACTTATGACGACAACGCGCGGTGGGCCGGGCTCGGGGGTTGCTTTGGGTGTCTTGACGAGCGGGCCCACACGACCCAGCGCATTGGCTGCTGCCCCTTCACAGTCAACTTGCACCTGGTGGCCAACCCAGGGAAGGGAGGGCCCTGGCATGTGTCAGGGCCCATGTTCACACCGGCCTGGCAGCTCCCCGTTGACTGCCAGCAGCTAGCACTGATTCAAACAACATGACCCCCTGAGGCACAACACCTGACAACCCTGCACGTTTTCAGGTTCCGTGCGCTGCTGGCTGACCTATTCCCTGGCGTTCCTGTCACCGACGCCACGAATCCGGAGCTCGAAGCGGCGCTCAGGGAGGCGGCCGCAGAGGAGGGCCTCCAGATCACCCCCCAGCAGGTGAGGGCGCCGCGGCGGGCGGGCAGGGTGGCGGCGGAGGGGGGAGCATGGAAGACAGGCAGGCGGCCTTGTGTAAACTATGGACGTCCCTGCGCATGGATGCCTTGCATGAGGACTAGGAATAGGGCTTACGGTAGTTTCAAGGGTTTCAAGTTAGAGAACGCCGCAAGCCTGAACAGTGAGGATTGCGCATCGAGCTGGAGCAACAGCAATAACCGTAACACCCGGCAGCAGGTGCTCGATGCCCACGCGATTAACACCCGTTCTCAGCCTCCAATAATCACCAGCTTCCGATAATCACCATGCCCTTGCCCGTGATAAAAAATTCATCGATTGCGTGGCAGGTCACCAAAGCGCTGCAGTTGCAGCTGGCATGCGACCAGCGTATCGGGGTGATCCTGGTGGGCCCCAGCGGCGCAGGCAAGACGACGCTCTGGCGGCTGCTGGAGGGGGCGCAGACCAAGCTGGGGCACAGACCCATTGTCTACAGGTGCCGCCCGTTTCTCAGGGCATTGTCTGGGCGTGCTATTGCACAGTCGCCTTGATTGATGACAAGCCTTAGACGTAACGTTGACAAGTGTTGACTGGCAATGCTTTTAAACCACATCCACTATCACACCTTCCAGTTTCAGCCCCTTTCTAACACATTGTTCCTCCGCACCCCACCCCATGCCGCGCCATGGTATCCCACCTCAACTCAAGAATGAACCCCAAAGCTCTACCCCGCCACCAGCTGCTCGGTAGCTTAAACCCTGACACACGCGAGTGGACAGACGGCGTGCTCACGGCGGCCGCGAGAAAGGCGAGCGTCCGACCACAAACCATGCCGTTCCAGGATTTGTTTTGAGTGCAGGTCCATGCTTGCTGCTGGGGCACGCGCAGCCCTCCTGCTGCCAGTGATCTCCGACCAAAGGTTGCAGCTGCAAGGGGATCATGGAGCGGAGTGTTCGTTGCTACCCCCAAACCCCCTGAAACCCTCCCGGTGTGGCAGGTGGCCAAGGAGCCCCCTGAGCAGCGCAGCTGGGTGGTGTGCGACGGCGACGTGGACCCTGAATGGATAGAGTCCCTCAATAGCGTCCTGGACGACAACAGGTGCGGCGACGCTGGCTCAAATTGCTGCTGCTGCTGCTGCTGCTGCTGCTGCTGCTGCT